TATGGTTTGTGAGGTGAGCAGGCAACCAGTTTTGGAGACATTCAGAGGCTTGGTAGACCCTGATGTGCATGGCCATGAGCATTAATTTTAAAAATACAATCCAGTCGCACTGTCCTTAATATGTGCTATACGCTCTTTTAATCCTCTAACCAAGAACTCAAGGGTGGTTATTACAGCTGTCACTGTTCAGATGAAGCAATGGGGGCACAGAGAAGTATCCTGCACTGAGAATATATACTTCAGAGAAATATCCCTGAACTGCACAGCTGGAAAGCTGGTGGGGCTGGGATTCAAACCCATGAGCTTTGGCTCCAGTCATCAAGAAAGCAAAACATGCAAGGCTACAATCTTGGGAGGTAAGCAGGGAGGGTTTCCTGGTGGAAGTGATGCTGACCTGAGACAACCATCCTGAGCGACCCACATAGCCTACTTCTGGGAGATACGCACACATGTGTTCTCACTGCCAGAGGAGTCCTTCCCTCACCCCATGAACTTTGATTACACAACCATCAAGTTCTGGTACCTTCCAGGCAGAATGAATTCTCCCTCTGTGATGTGGCGCATCAAATAACCTGTCTACTCTTGCAGACCCATTCTGTTTCTTTAGCCTTATACTCCTTGGCCATGACCTGCCTGCGTGACCCTGAGCCAAGTGTCTCAACCTCTCTGTCCCTAGTTCTTCATCTGTAAAATGGTAATGTTTTGTTCTCAAAATAGCCTCAAAAATACACTTCTTCTTTAAGGCTTTTTTTGGAACATGAAATATGTCAATATACGCAAGGGACTTAGAAAAAGCGTTTTGGCACATGGTAGACAAATGTTAGCTAGCATTTCTAGCTTGTGTATCATTCGTCTGCCTCCTCGTTCCTTCTTTCCAATCAGATATATATCACATCGGCCTGTGCCAGCTGGCTACTGTCACTGCTGTGACCTCAGCTTCTACCCCCTATGTGCCTCGTTCCCCACCACACCAGCCTCCTCCACGGTCCCGGACACAACAGGCACAGTCCTACCACGAGGACTTTGCCTAGCTGTTGCTTCCACCGGCACATCTTCCCTGAGACATCACAGATCCTTTCCTCACCTCCTCCAGGCCCTAATTCAAGAGTCCTTTCCTTTGCCTAACATTTCACCCATTCCTACTGCTCCACTTCCTGTTTTCTCCTTACCACCCGGTTTAACGATCTCATTTCACTTGTTTTGTTTACACGGTGTCCTCCCCAAGGACAGGGCTATGCGCCTGTTTTGTTCCCGCTCATATCCCTTCTTACCCCTCCTGTCCCCAGTACCAAGGTCTGAAATTCTGTTTTTTCCTATTTATTCACACAATAAATTCTTAGTGAGCACCTACTGTATACCTGGGTCTTTTCTTTTTCTTTCTTTCTTTTTTTTTTCCAGGGAGCTGAAGACACTAGGGCAAACAAGCAGACATAAAGTGTAAATTCTTACAGGACAACCACTTAATGAGGAGAGACAGTAACTAAACCGGCCAATATGTCAGGGAGCGGGAAAGGACGAAGGGACCAACAGAACAGTTACGGGGCCTGAGTCCTGCTGAGTGTGTGGGAGCCCACCGTCAAGAGTGGCTTTGTTGTTAGAAATACCATTCAGAGGAACTTTATTACATGTGTGCCTTTAAATAGTATAGCCCAAGTACCACAGTGTGATAAACACTACCCAGATACAGTGCAGTTCAAGGACTCTGTTTTTTTTCTCCCAAGGACTCTTAAAAGCAGCTCTCCCACCTGCGCCTTCAAGAGGAGATATTATATATTAGTTTGGGAAACACATCCTTTTGCTAACACCTTTCTCACATATAAACTGTCATTCTTCAAAGCTTTGTTTATACATGTCTCTTCACAGTGTGTCCCATTCACTCATGCCACAGAGCCCAGACAGGAACCAGGCAGATGCCAGAGACATTGGAGAATTGCTAGTCCAAAGGCCCTGTGGCAGGATGTACAGGCTCTGTTGGAAAAGCAGCGGGGAGGTGCTGACAGGAGTCCTTCCCGCACCCTAACAGTGTACACAGTTAGGAGGTGGGGAGTGGATGGAGGCCAGACAAGGGATTGGTTTCATTAACTCACAGGTATTCTTTATTTACGCTGGAGGGGATTCCGATTCCCTCATTTCACAAACGAGCAAACACGTGCAGAGATAACGTGGTTAAAGCAGTCATGTGTGTGTGCGCGCGCATGTGCTTGTGTGTGTGTGTGTGTGTGTGTGCTTAAGAGGTGGGGGTGGTCACCCAGCTGCTAGGATTTGGTGGCTGGCTGCTGAGACGATTCTGCAGGCACAGGAAACAGAAAAACTAAACACATGGAGCCGGGAATGCATTTGCTTTTTTTGAGTGGGGCTTCCTATGGCGTGATCTGGCTCGAGGTAAAAGAGGGCAGCTTCGAGAGCTGTTGTGCCCGGCTTACTTACTGGAGCACCTCTGAGTGAGGCCTCTGAGCTTGCTAGGCTCCCACTTCTGCCATACCTATCTCACGAGATAGTGGTGAAGATAAAATGAGTTCCCTACATAAAAACACTTTACCTGTTCATACCAGATGTTCAGTAAATGTTAGCTCCTCCTGGCGTGGTCATTATCACTGCCGCTAATGTATTCACTTACAGTGAGGACGCAGCACGTCTTGGTGACTAAGAGTGTGTATGAAGCACAGTGCTCCACAACCAAAAGTGCACAGGCTTAGACTCCCCAGGGATTGGGACTGCACAGGAGGAGGGAGTAAGGGAGAGGCGGGATGGAAGAACACTGGGTGGGGGCAGGAAGACCATGGAACAGATCCTTGTGTAAGGGAGCGGGAGATAAGGTTCATCTCCTAGCAGGAAAAGCTTATGGATTCTTGAGCAACAGCTGAAAGGGAGAAAAACCAGCGGAAAAACTTGATTAAGAGGAAAGCAGGACAAAGCCAGAGACTGTGCCACTGCAAACAGAGACTGGAGTACACAGCACCGAAGCAACCCACTAGGAAAAGGAAGTGGGAAGCCCAAGCCCTGGGGTGACAGTATACAAAATAGGAGGTAAGACAGGGCACTGGACTGCTAAGCCCGCGGTTCTGAAGACCAGTCTGAACTCTAGAAAGGGAGCGCGGCCTTGATAAAGCCAGGGACTAATAGAGCCTGGAGAAGGCAGAACGGAAACCACACAAACTCAGGTGGACTCGCTGAAACAGGAGCGCGCACGGGCACACGTGTGTATGTGTGTTCACGGTGGAGTACAGAGCCACGGATTCTCTATGGGGACCAGGACGGGTGCAATAAACAAGGCCATAGAGGGGCCCCCGAAAGTTGAGGCTGAAGAACTGCAACAAGCACCTACTATTAAGGGGGCTGGACAATGCCGCGAACTGGCTCTAAGTGGGGGGTGGGGGGTGGGGCAAGCCCATGGACGAGTCCACTGTAAATTGGGGTGTGGAGAATAGAAGCGCGCAGACCGATCCATTATACAGCGGGAGGGGGAACATTAGGCCACGGTCAGATCCAGCATTGGGGGCAAAGGGAAGGGAGGGCATGCCACATGCAGGTGCACCAGCCATGGTGGTGGTAGTAGGGAGCCGGACACCCACAGGCCACCGGCCAAGCCACATTCCCCACGCGGGGGCGGGAAGGATACATGGGGTCATGGATAGGACCTTCTATCCTCCAGGCCGGAACTCACCTGTGTGTAGCGCGGCGGCGGCGGCGTAGGCGGTGTTAGTAGCTCCGGGGGGCGGGGGCTCCATACGCGGCCCCACCGCCCCCCAGGCCCGGGTTCTGAGGCGGCGGTGGTGGCGGTGGTGGCGGCGGCGGCGGCAGCACCTAGAAGCCGCCCCTGCGTTTCCCCACCGCTCACGTGGGCCTGCGAGGGAGGAGCCCCAACCTCCCGCCGCTTGCTGATTGGCCAAGGCGCCACGGCCAGACCGCACGGCTTCAGGGCTCGGTGGGGCGGAGCCAGTCCCACAGAGCCACTCCGTGATTGGCCCAAGGCGACATGACGTGCCCCGGACAGACACCCGAGTCCCGAGGAGACACGCAGGGACTCGCCGTTGCTCCACGCAGATTGGCTCTAGGGGGCCCGACAGATCGTGGTTAATTGATAAGGTGGGGGGAGCACCTGCCTCGTGCTGATTGGCCCAAACGGAACTGAAGGTAGAAAGCCCCTGAAGATGGCGGGGGACGGGCGGGGGACGGGCGGGGGGGAGGTAAGAGCGGGTGCAGCTTTCCAGTGATTGGCGGACGAGACTCCTAGACAGCTGCCAAAACAGCAAGCAGGCGGTGCTGCGAGCCACGCTGCTTAGCGGAAGCAGGACTTGTATAGAAATGGGCGTAGCAGCCAGCCCTGCTCTGCGTAGGAGGACAGGGTAGCTCTATAGCGATTGGCTAGAAAAGACGAATTTAGAACGGAGCGGAGGTAGGAGGGCAGGATGGTTGCCAGACACGCAAAGGAGCGTTGAGAAACTAAGTGCTCACAGAGCAAGCTTGGGCTCTGGCCAGAGTTATTATGGGAGGCGGAACCTGGCTCTGCCTTGACTTGGGGAAGCTAGATTTAACCTAACATAGGGGTTGGGCCAGAGAGGGCACACTCTGGCTCGGCACCTATTGCTGGCAGCTGGAACCATTTAGAAGCTGGGGGCAAGGTTGACTGGCGTGGGTGTAATTGATGGTACCTGTGGAACGATTTGTGTAAATCTTAGGGCTACTAGTGAACGGCTGATTGCCATGGGAACAAACCTCCACCTTGAATCGGTCCATTCTCTAAGGCAATTCAAAGGATGCTGTCCAGGAAAAAGAATGGAAGGAATGGGGGGGGGGGAAAGCAGGTTGCCACGGTGACACGGAGGGGAGGACCTAAAGTCAAGCAGCAAAGTCTGCCAGGCAACAAGCTGGAGGCAGGACTTCCAGGTTGCTTTAAAGGATCCATAGAAAAACTAAACCTCCCAGTTAACGTTGGATCCCAGAAACAGGGTACCTTAGTAACCATCAGGGATTAAGGGGTAAAAGAAGGGCCATGTGACTCAAAGGCATTCAGGCTCTTTAATGTCAGAGGATGGGGCGAGTAGTCAATGATGAGGCTTCTCTGGGAAATTCTGCAGGCCTTGTAGTTCTCTAAGCCCCTGAAAAAGAGGACAGAGGGTTTTTATAAGAGAGACTGGGTCTAGGCCCCCTCCTCAGGCTTGTTCGGAACTCCCCCCTCCGCCCCCCGAATCCAGTTCAAAGGGAAAGATGGTCCTTTCCAAGGCTGGTTCTCTCCCTTCTTCAGGTCATCGCCCTAACCACATCTGGAGGCAGAGGCTGGGAGTGGGCTGCACTGCTCTCACCTCTAGCAACATGTGAATATGGGCCTTGATAGTCATGGAGTCCTTGGTGAGGCTGTTGCTGAGCCTGGAGAAAAGAAAAAACAATGGGCAAAGTGGGCTCCACTTACAAAGATGACTCTTCCTCCTCACTTCAACTACTTAGATCCAGGAGGACTTTTACCAATCTTCTATGTAGAAGTGGCTGATCACAGTCTGGACCTGATTCAAAGATTACCAAACATCTACTGTATGTTGGTTTTAGGAACTGGGGGGACAGCAGCAAACACAATATACAAATTTCCTGGCTTCAGGGGGCTCAGATTCCTAAGAGAGTCAGACAAATAAATGATGGAATAAGATCCACGGCATGTCACATGGTTCTAGGTACAATGCAAAAAGTAAACAGGGAGGGACAATAAAAGTGGAATGGGGTACCTAGGGACAGCTTCATTGAAAAGCATTTTGAGTCAAGCCATAAAGAAGCTAATAGTGCTACACGAAGGATGGGTACTCTACACACAAGGAGTAGCCAAGACAATAGTACTGAACTGGGAGTTTACCTGGCATGTTTCAAGCATAGCTAACAGGATACTTTGCCTGGAGAAGAATGAGCGGTACTGTAACAGGTGTGGTCAAACAGTAGAGATGGGGGTGGGTGGGAGGCAGAGTGTGTAAACCCAACAAGGCCAGGTTAAAAGTCTGGGCATTTCTATTAAGTGAACTGGAAGCCTGGTAAGGGCTGGGAGGTGAAGTGAACTGGATTTATGAGCATACATCTGAGCCTACCATGATGACTAATCATCTAATTGCAAGTGCAGGGGTCCCATTCAGGTGCTGGTTCATGTCCCGCCTGCTCCACTTCCCATCCTGCTCCCTACTTGTGCCCTGAGAAAGCAGTGGAGGATGGCCTAAGACCTTGGGACGCTGGACCTGTGTACCTGTGTGGGAGAACCTGAGGAAGCTCCTGGTTCCTGGCTTCGGATCGACTCAGCTTGTGAATCAGCAGATGGAAGATATTTCCGTCTCTGCTCTGTAAATCTTTCTAATAAGTAATCTTAAAAACAAAATCCATCATTTGGATGCTGGGTTGAGGAGTGAATGGAAATATGGAGAGTTAGTGTACAGTATACTGTGTGAGCCAAGGAGGCTCTGACAACAGTGGCTGTCTGTTAAAGGGGTGAGAGATGACTGGATTTGGGATGCATTTTGCAGGTAGAGCCAATAGGACTTAGCAAAGGGTTGGACCTTGGGTGCGAGCTAGGACTCGGGGCAGATGCCAAGGCCTAAGATCTGAAACCAGAGGTGCCTAAAACCATTCTGGCTCTGGACTGCTGAGCTACATGCACCAGTCAATTCTAAGGCAGTTTGCATCAGATCTCACCCAAAAGAATCCTGACAGGTTGAAACCTTCCTCAAGAATGAGAATGAGAAGGAACTGAATAAGAAAGAGTTCAGCAATGTGAATGTCTTCCAGAAAAAGGCCCAGTGGTAGGAAAGATTTTTTTTTTTTTGAGGAACAGCCAGAAGATCAGAGACTTTGAAATTAAGTATACAGGGGCCAGCATTATGCCTCAATCAGCTAATCCTTCACCTATAAGTGTCGGGATCCGGGCTCGGTAGCGTGGCCTAGTGGCTCAAGTCCTTGCCTTGCACGCTCCAGGATCCCATATGGGTGCCAGTTCTAATCCCGGCAGCCCCACTTCCCATCCAGCTCCCTGCTTGTGGCCTGGGAAAGCAATCGAGGACAGCCCAATGCTTTGGGACCCTGCACCCGCGTGGGAGACCCGGAAGAGGTTCCTGGTTCCCAGCTTCGGATTGGCGCAGCACCAGCCGTTGTGGTCACTTGGGGAGTGAATCATCGGACAGAAGATCTTCCTCTCTGTCTCTCCTCCTCTCTGTATATCTGACTTTGCAATAACAATAAATAAATCTTTTTTTAAAAAAGTGTCAGGATCCAATATGGGCACCAGTTCATGTCCCAGATACTTCACTTCCCATGGAGGATGGCCCAAAGCTTTCGAACCCGGCACCCATATGGGAGACCCCAAGGAAGCTCCTGGTTCCCAGCTTCAAATTGGCTCAGCTCTAGCAATTGCAGCCGTTTAGGGAGTGAACCAGCAGATGGAAGCTCTTTCTCAGTGTCTCTCCTTCTCTCTGTAAATCTGCCTTTCTAAAATAAATAAATAAATGAAGATATAAATAAATCTTAATGTTCATTTTTTTTAATTGCCTCATATTACTTTTGTTTATTGTCTGTCTTCCCTGACTAGAATGTCAGCTATGTGAGGGTGAAGTTTTTGATATGTTTTATTCTGTTGCATTTCCTGTATCCAGAACAGTGTGGGGCAGTGCTGAATAAATGAAGGATTATTGACTCAAAGGAAGCTGAAACACAAAACTGTTAAATCTACATTTAGAGATCAAAAATGAAGCACGGTGCTGTTTCTAGAGTGACAGTACTTTCGAGGTTATTTGGTGTAGTGCTCAAAGAACAGGGGATATATCCAGCTCCCTGCTTATGATCTAGGAAAGCAGTAGAGGACAGCTCAAAGCCTTGAGACCCTGCAGCATTGTGGGAAACCTAGAAGAGGCTCCTGGCTTCAGATCAGCTCAGCTCCAGCTGTTGTGGTCATTTGGGAGTGAACCAGCAGATAGAAAATCCTTCTCTATGTCTCTTCCTCTGTAAATGTGATCCGCCTTTCCAATTTAGAAAAAAAAATCTTAAAAAAAAAAAAAAAGACAGGAGGGAATAAAGTTGATCAGATCCATAGCTGTTCTTTTTAGTATCAAAAAGAACAGCGGGGAGGGTTGTGGCACAGGTTAAGCCATCACTTAAAATACTGGCATCTTATATGGCACTGATTCTTGTCCTATCTGCTCTACTTGAAATCCATCTCTCTGCTAATGCACCTGAAAAAGCAGATCCAAGTGCTGGGCCCCTGAAACCCACATGGGAAAGCTGGATGGAATTCCAAGCTCCTGTTTTTTTGATCTTGCCAGCTTTGCTACTGTAGCCATTTTGGGAGTGAACCAGCAGCTGGAAAAATCTGTTTCTCCCTCCTTCTCTCTTTAACTTAACTCTGCCTTTCAAATAAACAAATATTTTTTAAAAAGAACAAAATTAATTAGTCCTTAAAAAGTGAGAAAGAACAAAATTACTGAAGCAATGAAACAAGTTTAGTTTATGAATGGCTATAGACTTTAACCCTTAAATGGAGAAAAATATGAGTCTACCAAATTCCAGTTGTATTACTACTGCTTTTCTATAATTACATGTCTCTTTGTAAGATGTGGATGTGCACTCTTTGATGCTTAGCAGGAAAGAATATATAGAAGCTTGCTCTCCTCCATCCCCAAAATTATAGACTAAGAACAGGAAGCACTTCTGGGCAGTTTTGAATACATGAAATAATCAGAAAGAACATACCAAATGATCATATCTTGAGGAGGAAAGCCTACAGACTCACATTTTTATCTCCTACAAAGATTAAATGTCTAGAGAGTCGAACTGCTAATATTAAAGCATGAGAGAGTCAACCACATTTTTAACTACACTAATAGATCAGGTAAGGGGACAGGCACTGACAAGCTACATACCTAATTTTTAGAAAAAACACTGGGTCTCAAAAATTTTAAATGTATCTCAAAGACCCAGGAATCCTGTGATATAAAAAGGAAAGCAGTTTGGAATTGGATTGATAATGAAAGCAGAACAACCCTTGATCAAACTAGTCACTAACTGGTCTGATCATTAAGATTTAGAATTCTCAGCAGGTCTGATACTATTTTGAGTTCACTAAAACAGAAATTCAAGAAACATTTGAAAAGAAAAAAAAATACTGAAAAACAAAGGGAGGTAACTCTGGAAGAAGCCAATGCAGGAATAAACAAACAACCAAGAAGGAATTTTAAATCAATAGTATTCACACTTGTGAGATGTTGCTAATCTAAGCGCAATGCTCACATCCCTCACACCTGTCCCATCTGGGCCATGCGTGCCTCTTGGTAGCTTCCACTAGCAGGCCAGGTACACTGCTGCCCTTTACAGGAATGTTCCCCAGAAAGTCCCATGGCTTGCTTATTCAAATAGCTCAAAATGGAATCTCTGCTGGGAGGCTTTCCTCAGGTACATTTCAAACCCCTCATCTATACTCCCAACTGTCCTTCCATATTCAACAACTTAAACTCAACTGGAATCCGTACTTTCTCTCCATCGCCACCAATGCAGGTTTATTTCATTGACCACATCAATTTGTTTTCAGAATTCCTTTCAAATACATTCAACACACACAGATGATTTACTGTATGCTATGTATTATTCTAATCACCTGGGGTCTACACAAAAATTCTCCCTTTGTTAAGCTTATATCCTGAAGGACACTACATGTGTAACAAAGAAACAAATTGCACAATAAGTATTAGGAGGTAATAAGTACAGAAGAAAAATTAAGAGAAAAAGCAGATAAATGAAATCAAGAGTCTTAGGGATTGCAAGTACATACTAAGTCTATGAAAGACCTTGTTGATGAGGAGAGAATATTTAAGCAGGGCAATTGAGTGAGAAGAGAAACCACAGGTGTACTGGGGAAAGACTATGGCAGGGAGAATAGCCACTGCATCTGCCCCAGGGTAGCAGCATTCCTGGGACATTTAAAGAGGCATGTGAAAGTTACCATGGCAAGAGTATAATGAATTAGCTGGAAAATCAGTAGGTAAAGTTAGAGGTAACTTGTTTTACTGTTACTGACTTACACTGAGGCCTTGTTGAGCTGTTGTCACAGCTGTAGCTGGGTATAATAACATAGTCCCTTTAGAATGGGAGCTTGCTTCTGTTTTGTTCACTGCTGTATCTCTACTCTCATGCACAGAGTGTGCTCAGGAAAAGATGCCCAATATGTTTGTATGACTGAATTATTCAAAGACCACGTGATTGGAATGTTTATTATGTGCTAGCCTTGGGGCTGAGCTTTGCATATCCACTCCCTTAGACCCATGTCTGAAGAACAGGGAAGCTGGGTCTCTAAGTTACGGGAAAAGAGTGTTGGAAATGGTTCTTTTAGATACTCCCTTCACAAAATGGACTTACTCTGTGAGAAGAGAGCTCTTACGATCAATGAATTTGAGAGCTTCTGCCAGTGTCAATTCCAGGAAAAAACCATATCCCAGGGCCACGTAGATGCGTGAAGTATCTGGGCTGAGGAGAGAGGTTAGAAGAATTGGAAGAGGTTCTTATTACTGTTCATCATACCACACAGTTTAATTAAAACTGTTTATCCCCTCTCCATCCCCATTTTGAGTTTCTGGGGAGGCAGGGATCTGATTCCATTTCATTTCCTTTCATATCCCCAATACTTAGCTTATATCCTAATGGTTATAAAATCTAGCAGCGTCTGGTGCATAACAGATGCTGAAAAAATATCTGTTCCATGAGGGAAGGGCTCCGGAGGGTGGTAGACACTCACACCACTGTGTCAACGAAGAAGTTACAGCCCAAATCCACCTGCATAAATAACTCCGAGTGCTTAGTTTCCTGTAGGGAGAGAGAAAGAGGCAGGGGTCAGTGGTCAGCTTTCAGCTCAGGTAAAAGGTTTCAGTCTAGGGTCTCTCTTCCCACTTCCCTCACATGCACCCTCAAAAGCAAAACAAAAAAAGAGCATCCAACCCTGATGTCTACCTGGAGTCGTTCAATGACATTTCTTAGTTGAAGGTATTTGGCCAGCTGCTCATATACCTTGTCTCGATGGTCCAGCACCTTCCTAATGGGTAAAAGTACAATGGTGAGCAACAGGCTACACCTCACCAAAGGTCTCATGTTATTATGCTCTCCTTTCAGTGCAGAAGTTAAGGTTTTGGACCCTGGGTCAGACTGCCTGGGTCTTACCCAGATGTGTGGTTTTGGCAAGTAATCTATTTGGCTTTTTCAACTATAAAATAGGGGTGACATTATGATCGTGTAGAGGCATTCGGATTAAATGAAAACTTACTATAAAAGATTTAGAATAATGCCTTCCAAATCGTAAGGCTTATAAATGTGCTAACTCTTAACTGTTGTTACACTTCACTCCCAATGCCAATCAGTATGTGTCATCCTCATCCTAGAAAATTCCTACATTCCTTTCAGGCTGTTCATAGTCCAAGTTCTAACACCCCGCTTCCTGCTCAGATAACCAAGGACAGAAATAATAGCTCTTCATACTCCTTGAACACCTAGTATATTTGACATCACTCTGAACACTCAAAATCATGGCATGAGTAAGGTTCTGTAATTTCTTCATTTCACTGATTTGAAAGCTTTATAAGACACAGAAAGAAGGTGGGTGCGATATTTACGTAGATGGTAAAGTAGCTAGCCAGAGCTCAAGCCCCAGAACTGTAGCTCGGGAACTTGGCTCTTAAGCCATCGCGGTCCGCGCATGCGCAGGCACGCCCTTCGACTCACAAGTCCCAGCCCGATTGCACCCCGGAAGTTGCTTCCCCTTCGCCCTTAAGGAAACGCGTGGGGATGGGCTCCGGATGTGTCGCCCACCAATCCGAAGGCTTGGCCCGGACTCCAAACGCCCCATCCACCACGTGGAATATCCTGCAGGCCCCGCCCCTCTTGCTGTCACTCACCGCAAGTCCCGCTGTAGCACGTCACTGATGAAGGCCTCATAGCGCAGTACTTTCTCGGCCGTGGCCTCCACCACCCGCCCTTTAGGGGGCGTCTCCATTACGGGCTCCTGGGGAGGGGGAAGGGGAAGACCACATTGACCACTTCAGTATGGCCCCATGCACAGTTCATTTCCACCCTGTTAAGGTTGGGAAATGAGCACGTCCGGGTCATGCTGGGGGTGGGGGGGTCCACCTTCTGTCCTTCCCAACTCCAGGACTCGGCTACCCAGGGACACCAAAACGCGGCCCCTTACCTGAGGGCCGCCGGCAATAAGAACGGGTTGGTACAACCACGGCTTCCGGGTGGCGCGGGTGAATTACGTAGCCACAAGCGCGCTGACCAACCAAATAACCAGCTGGGGAGGGGCGGTCTGAAAGGAGGTAAGATCCACCAAAGGGAAGAAGAGAAGGGCGGGACTTTGCGGAACGTGTGGGGATCCAGGAGGACTGCAACGTGTTGGAACAGGCTGTCCAGCCACTAGCCGGCCAGCTGGAGGCTGCGGAAGCGGCGCGCAGAGCCTTGGGCACTGCACGTGGCAACGAGGGTTTTGGCGGGTTCTAGGGGTGATGGAATGCGCAGGTGCGTGTAGCGCTAGGGAGTGAAGCGTTCAGTATAAACGGCAAAACCTAAGCGGTTCTCATCTGTAAGGAAGGCACTCTATCGTTTTGTCGCTTGTCGTCCTGTAATCTTAACTTTTTACGGGGGGCGGGGGGTTGCCTTTCACTTACCATGGTTGGGGACGAGAATGAGCATTTAAAAAGGTTTTTTTTTTTTTTTTGAAACGGGGACCATTTTTTTAGAATTCATCTTTGAAGGTTGCAACTCTGAAGATACACAATATAAAACAGGATCCATACTAATATACCTGGGAAAGCAGTAGAGCAAACGACTCAAGTCCTTGGAGCCCTGTCACCCAGCTGGGCGGTGTGGGTGGAGCTCCTGTCTCCTGGCTTCAGCTTTGGTTGGCCTGGACCACCCTGGCTGTTGTGACCCTTTACTGAATGAACTAGTAGATGGGAGATCTGTCTCTCTGCATTTCAAATAAATAAATCTTTTTCAAAAGGGTTTATGGATTTAAACATCACTGCATTGTAATTCTAGTATTGTCACTTGTACAATACTCCATTACAACCTCTTTAAGTTCTGAACACTTAGTTTGCTGACCCATGGTGTTATCTTATATTCTATGAGCTAAGAATGCCATTTCTATTTTGAAGTCCTTGAAAAAAGTCACAACAAGAAAGTTTGGGATAGCAGAAAATTATATGCAGTTTGAATTTCAGCGTTCAATAAAGTTTTATGGGAACACAGCCACATCCATTCATCTACATATTTTTGTGACCGTTTTCAAGCTACAATGGCAGAATCGAGTGGTTGCTAAAGAGACCATCTGGCTTAAAAATTCTAAGGTACCTATTAGCTGACTTTTTACAGGAAAGGTATGGCATGCCCAGCTAACCTGGTCATGCCAGTCAACAATGTAGAGATTGGGACTAAAGCCACGTGGGCCTCTCTGGCTTCCACGGGTGACCTCTTTCCTAGCTGATAGGCTGGCATTTGCAGGTTCGTGTTGTACGGAGCTCTGAGACAGGATCTAGCCTGAGACACAGTAATAACCATGTCTCATCTCTTCATTCATCCTTCCATTGCTATACTTCCCCCAGCTCTGACTTACCTCACTTCCCCCATCTTGGCTTTATCCAGGGAGGAACCCTGAGGCCGACATGAGTTTGCAGTGACTTGAAAGCTAATAACAGACAACATGTGACCATGTCTGTTTTTGCTGTCCAGGTATCCCATTTGGTGAAATGTCTCTTTACATCCTCTCTTCGTTTTTTAGTTAGACTGATTTATTTAACTGTTCAATTTTGAAAATTTCCTATATAAATAGGTTAAAAAGTTCACAGGGATTGGTAATTTGGCCCACTGGCTTAAACCGCTATTTCTAACATTAGCATTCCATTACCGGAGTGCTAGTTCCAGTTCTAGCTACTCTGCTTCCAGTACAACTTCCTGCTAATGCACCTGGGGAGGCAGCAGGTGAGGGCTCAAGTTCTTGGGCCCTTGCCACACAAATGGGAGATACAGATGGAGTTTCTGGATTCCTGAGTTTACTTTGGTCCAGTCCTACCTATTTCAGGCATAGGGGAGAGTGAAATACCGCACAGATCTGTCTCTCCATCTCTGTTGATATATTTTTCAAAAAATAAATAAATAAACGAATATAAACACATGTTTAAAAAGTTTGTGGAACCATTATGAAAACCCATCAGTCTGAACATTTTCGCTAAAATAAGCATTTTTAAATGATTTTATCTGAGAAACAGGAACAGATGTCCACTGATGTCCCAATTGTAACTGAGCTCGGGATTGACTCCTGAGGCTCTACTGATTATCTAACTCCCTGCTACTTTACCTGGGCAGGCAGTGGACAATGGCCTGAGTTCTTGAGCCCCTGCCACCCCTATGAGAATCTCCGATGGAGTTCCTAGCTCCTGGCTGTAGGCTAGTCCAGCGCTGGTTGTTGCAGTCATTTGAACATATACCTGTGGATGAAAGATTTCTTTCTCCCTCTTTCTGCCTTTCAAATAAAAAATAAAATAGTAATAAATCTCTTCAAAGAAACAGCATTGTTGGGCATGGCCTGGTGGCCTAGCAGTTAAAGTCCTCGCCTTGAACGTGCCGGGATCCCATATGAGTGCCAGTTCTAATCCCAGCAACTCTACTTCCCATCCACCTTCCTGCTTGTGGCCTGGGAAAGCAGTTGAGGACGGCCCAAAGAAAGCCTTGGGACCCTGCACTCACATGGGAGACCTGGAGGAACCTCCAGGCTCCTGGCTTCGGATTGGTGCAACAAGGATCCAATTTATTTTATTGCAAAGTCAGATATACAGAGAAGGAAAGACAGAGAGAAATACCTTCCATCCATCCGATAATTCACTCCCCAAGTATCCACAATGACCAGTGTTGCGCCGATCCAAAGCCAGGAGCCAGAAACTTCCTCCAGGTCTCCCACATGGGTGCAGAGTCCCAAGGCTTTAGGCCGTCCTCCACTGCTTTCTCACGCCACAAGCAGGGAGCTGGATGGGAAGTGGACCTGACAGGATTAGAACCGGTGCTCTTAAAAAAAAAAAAGAACCGGCGCCCTTATGGGATACCAGTGCGTTCAAGGCCAGGACTTGAGCTGCTAGGGCATGCCGCCGGGCCCATAAATAAATCTTAAAAAAAAAAAAAACAGCATTGTGAGATAAAAGTCATGTATCATAAGATGCACTGTGGGGAAGTAACAATTCAGTAGTTTGTAGTGAATTCACAAAGGTGTGCATATGGTACCAAAATTGAATTTTACATTTTTGTCACCCAACAGTACTTCTCTGCCTACTGCTCAGGGCTTTTCTCTCTCCTACCCTAGCTCTAAACTGCAAAAACATTTGCTTTTCTTCTTCTTCTTCTTTTTTTTTTTTTTTTTTTTTTTGCCTATTTATAGAGTTTTCGTTCAGTACCCATCCAGATAGAATTTTTCCCTCCTGGCTTTGGCATAGGCCAGACCCAACAGGTACAGGCATTGGGGGAATGAACAATAAACGGATGATACAACTGTCCCTTCCTCTGGCTATCCCTGGGACCAAGCTTTTCATATAAGGAAGTAAAAACTCCAAATATTGGGCCTCATGTGACAGCGTAGCGACTAAAGTCCTTGCCATGATAGCATCAAGATCCCATATGGGAGCAGGTACTAATTTCGGCAGGACTTGCTCCTAAACATGACCTTGCTGGGGAAAGGGCTGGAGAGCACTGTGGACCAGGAAGGCTGCATTTCCCCCAGGGGTCCCAAAGGCGCTCTATTCAAAAGGAAATGTCCCAAGCAAACAGGCAATGGTGGCTTCCAAACTTTATTGCCATAAACATGTCAGGTACACAGTAAGCAGGCATGTACCCATTTCCCCGCAAGAGAAACAAGCAATAATGAAGACGGCAACATGACTTGGCCTGCCCACGTACACTGCCTCCATCAGGCCAGAAGGGTCTCACAGTCAACACAGTGAGGACATTTTCAACACCAACAGCGCTCTCACGCGCACAACTCTTCTTCAAACGACAATTGCCTTTCTCCCTTTGCCCACCCAAGTGTGAGAGGCGCAAGAAAGAGCTTCCCCACACATCAAACTCAGGAGAAGCAGCACCATTACACACAGGTGGTTTGCAAACAGTATTTCAAAAAGACTAGCGGGTACAGAAAAATGCATACCCAATCTCCAGGAAATTAAAAAAAAAAAAAAAAAACCAGGAAAACAAGCAAACATTGAGCAGCACAAAACTTTGCCTACTCATGTACAGTTTCTCTGTCTCTTTGGCAGGGTTTCACATTGAATTCAAAGAGCTTCTATTTCTCTCGTTCACACACCAAGTAGGAGATAAGAGGGATGGGCTGCTTTCTACGTTATTCTCACCAGAAGCAGCACTCACAGTTTCTTGTGCTTGCAAATTATTTTTGGCAGTTTCACCAAGCCGTTACCTAGTGTTGCTGTGAAACAGAGACAAACTGCCCTCGAGGGAGCAGTGACTGCAAAAAGCAACGTGTAGGGAAGATGGAAACGGGGCAGTACACTGCATGGGTGGGGAGGGAGGCAAGTGACTACAGGGAAACCCAGAAGGTACGCAGCGAGTCATCTCCGCAGTCAGGACAAAACCCAAGTGTGGCTGCAGTCCACCGACAACGGGGGAAGCCAGCACAGGCGACCGAGGGCTTGACCAAAGGAATCCAGACGAGATGCAAGCCTGGCTGGGGGCCAGTGAGCCACAAACTCAGGAGAGGTTACCCAGTGTTTTAGCACGGGAGGGAGGCCAGGACACAGTTGTGGAGGCAGTCTACTGACAAGAGGAACACTCAGGACAAGTTCCTGAATGCGTTCCCATAGAAATGCACAGCAGCGAAAGCAGGTTTTGGTTGCATCCTGGGGGACCCACGGTGGGGACCTGTGGCACCTGCTGCAGAGGCAGACCCACCACGTGCCTATCCCTGCCCTGGGTAACCAGCACTCGACTCAAAGCCCTAGCATCTATAACCAGATGCCAAATGTGGAGAGCAGCAGTCAGCGAGGACCACCCAAGACCAAGGTCAGTGTCATGCAGAGGGGGGACGGATGCAGCACACAAGAGTTCCCTTTAGTCCTCCTGCAGGTAGTGCTCGATGAGAAAATTGGCCGTCAGCTCCTCGTCCTTGTCACAAGCTAGATACGCTCGCCTCACCAGTGCTTCAGGAAAGCCCAGGACCTTCAGCCTGTCGATAGCTTCTAGCTCCTGGGCTGTCAGCTCGCTGGAGCCCTGCTGGCCCTGAGCCAGGCCTGCAGGGCCAGAGCCAGTCTTGAGAAAGTCCAGCAGGTGTTTGGTAGAAGATGCCAAAGCCTCTGCCGCCGCTGTCCACGCAGCGTCTGCTGGTGAGCCAGCAGCTCTGCGGCCCGCGGCTGCAGGGGGCTGGTGCGCGGCCCGCCCTTCTGTGTGTGCAGGGATTCCCTCGAGAAGGTACTCCACGGCTCGGTGAGGGTTGTGGTAACTGGCTCTCAGGGCTGCCAGGACCTGCCGTCGCTCAAAGCCCATGGACACGAGGTCCGTGATGGACTGCTCGTAGGCTGGGCCTGACACCAGGGCACCTGCCCCGTGCTCCCAGGACGTGGGGCCGGACAAGGGTCCTGCGGTGGCCTCGTCGCTGGCTGCTGGGAGGGCGGCACCTGGCGCGGGTGCCTCCTGTGGTGCAGGTGGCTCAGGCGCAGGGGCAGCGAGTGCGGCGGGCTGGGCAGACGCCATGTTGGAGGTGGCCGCCCAGGCAGGGCCAGGCGCTGGGGCCTGAGCTGCAGCTGCCCACGGGCTGGACGCCAGGGCAGCAGAGGGGGCAGGCTGTGACTGCTCGCCCCTGCCTGTGCCCATGGCCGTGTCTGTGCCCGTGGCCGTGCTGGTGGCTGTGGCCGTGTCTGTGCCCGTGGCCGTGCTGGTGGCTGTGGCCATGCTGGTGGCCGTGGCCCTGGGCACGGCCGGCCCTGCAGTGGCAGCTGCGCTGGGCTCGGCCAGCAGCACCTCTACCACTGTGTGCTCATCCAGGTGGTAGTCTTTGAGAGCAGCGCCGTCCTGGAGGACTTGGCCGGCATACAGCAGCCGTTGCTGCGCCGCTGGAAAGGCGTGCCTGCCCTGCTGCAGCTCGATTTTCTCTTTGAGGGCTCTCACCGTGTGCTCGGGGTCCACGTCGACCTGGAAGGTCAGCTGCGGGCCGGCCTGCAGGGTGAGGCGCATGGTGCGGGCCTGTGGCGTGGCCGGGCCTGGGCCGCGTGATGGCCGCCGGGGCGGGCGCCTTGGCGGGGTGGCGCTGCTCCCGCTGCTGCCTCTGCTGCTGCTGCGGCTCCCGCGTCTCCCGCTGGTGCCTGGGCCTCAGGGGAAGGCTGGGCTGGGGGCGCTCCGGCTCACCTCGGGCAGCGGCCTGTCCACAAGCACCCCGACCCACTTGGCGGCCAGCTGGGTCCTGCTGCGCACCAACAGGCCTCAGAGGGTGCGGGAGGCAGAAGGCGGGAGGCGGGAGGCGGGAGGCGGAAGGCGGGAGGCCCCAGAGGGTGCAGGGGGCAGAAGGCGGGAGGCGGGAAGCGGAAGGCGGGAGGCGGGAAGCGGAAGGCGGGAGGCCCCAGATGGTGCAAGGGGCCGGAAGGCGGGAAGCAGGAGGCGGGAGGCGGGAAGCGGAAGGCGGGAGGCCCCAGATGGTGCAAGGGGCCGGAAGGCGGGAAGCAGGAGGCGGGAGGCGGGGCGGGCTCAGGCTCTCCTCACCAGCCCACTCCCTCAGAAGCAGAAGCCGTGATGCTGCCTGGGGCAGAAGGAGGTGGCCGAACAGGCCCCACCCACGAGCCACACCCCTGCCCACCCAAGCAGCCCTCCGAGTTGAGGTGGTTCTCTGGCGCTGACCTCACTAGCTTCTGCTCATGCATGGATGGGCTCAGCTTTGGAGAGTCTCGTGCCTTTTTATTATCTGCCTAATATTCCCTTTCAAAACTAGACCACCCCATTGTACTTCTCCAAGCCTCCCTCAACCAGAAATCTGCACGTTCTCCACCCGTACAACTCCTGACTCTGTCCCTTGTGTGGGACCGAGCTTCAGGCCTCAACATTGCTGCCCCCACCAATGTTTTGGTTTTGGCCTCACCACCAGGGCCACAAAGCCCAGGACAGCTCAGAGTGATGATGAAGATGAGGGGACACAGCCAACGGCACGGAGTAGCAGATCTCTAGGCCATGAGAGAATTCATTCCAAGAGATAGAGTTTCAAACCCCAACCGCATGGTTTTCAAGGCCCATGTCCCAATGAGCAGGAAATAACTACACAAGAGCTGATGATTCTGCTCCCTGCAGGCAACCTGAGCGTCATAGCCCCCTGAAGGGGAATGACGTGGGACAGTTAGGTCGCTGACACAGGGTCCCAAGATGCAAGCCACACTGCTTCTGCTCTTTGAAACCCCCCTGCCCATGTCTCAATCACGGGAACCTACTTCCCCTCCCCCTGCATCTGGGCTGGTATCATGAAGCCGATGAAGATACCAGCCCAGGTCACATGAAGAGTGGCAACGTGGAAGGCGGTTCTTTCTCTCCCCCCACCACACACCTTGCAACAGGAGGGATGGTAGAAGCATTTCTCTCCCTTCCACCTTTCCCTTCCTGACCGTTCCACCCCAAATATGCCCCACATGTCTCTGCGCACTGCTCACCTTTAACTCGGCATCAGATAACTTTTCTGAAGGGAACACTTTGTGCTTTTGCATTGAAAGCGATGGCACGTTTTACTTGTTGCAATTTTAATTTTTTTTTCGATTTTATTATTTTTTATTTTATTTTTTAGATTTATTTTATTTAATTTTTTTTTTTATTGGAAAGGCGAATGTACAGAGAGGAGAGACAGAGAGGAAAATCTTCCATCTGACGATTCACTCCCCAAGTGAGCGCAACGGCCGATGCTATGGGCCGTCCTCGACTGCTTTCCCAGGCCACAGGCAGGGAGCTGGATGGGAAGCGGGGCTGCCAGGATTAGAACCGGCGCCCATATGGGATCCTGGGCATGCAAGGCGAGGACCTTAACCACTTGCGCCACTGCGCCGGGCCCTATTATTTTTTATTTTATTATCACATCCACTTTGTCTCAGTGGGAATGCTGGCTTCCAGAGCTATCTGCCATTTCTTGTTGGCAGATTCAGAACGCTAGATGCATTCATGGCAATAGATTCTGTTCTAATGCAACAGAATCTAATGCATCAGACACCACGTTTTTATACAGTGGTGTGCATTCTGAGTTTTTCCAATTAGAATTTGTTTTTCCTAGCTCCATGGATTTTCCTGCTAATCCTCTGCTCTGTTCCTGTATTTGTTATATCTCTTTGTGAAATATAAGTGCTTTTATTATACATAATCACCATGTTTTTTATATTTCTGGCCATGTTCTGCAGTCTTTGCTCTGGTTCTGAACTTTCTGGGTTTTTTGTTTGTTGGTTGGTTTGTTTCTTTCTTTTCTTTCTTTCTTTCTTTTTTTTTTTTGCCTTTCTATATTTTACATGATTCCTTAAGTGATAGTCTGAGAGACCATCAAGGAAAGATATATCTTGCAAATACTAGTGCATTATACAGATACGTGCAAAACAGCGATGAGTCAGGCACAAGCCTTGAGGCAGGAACTCTATCCTGCCTTTCACCTTTCCACCTGTGTGGGTGAGATGCAGGAGGTTGAGCCCCACTCCACTGCTTTTGTAAGGTGCATTCGCAGTTGTTTTGATTGAAACCTGATCAGCTGCGACTCAAAAGAGAATTCTACTCCAATGTGCATCTCAACCTGAGGTCCACTATACAGGCCTAATACAGAAATTGTCTAACCATCAAAAATTTCTTTTGGAATGACGGGACATCAAGACATTTTCAGAGAAAGGAATCCTAAGAGATTTCTCTGCCTGCTTAACTTCTTGTATGCAGAAATGTAAATGTAAAATCCAAATTACATATAAAGGTAAATCCATTAATATAATCATGTACGGTTTTCTATTATTTTATTTTATCAGTTGTTATAGATGGCAGTATTTCCTTCTGATCAGAATGCTTTTCTCTCTTTCTTCCTTCCTTCCTCCTTCCCTCCCTCTCTTTCCTTCCTTCCTTCCCTCTTTTCTTTCTTTCTTTCTTTCTTTTTCTCTCTCTCTTAAGATCTGCTGGTTCATGCCCCCAATGGCCACTGGAGTGGATTCAAAGCCAGAAATGTCTGTATCTTTCATGTTGGTGCAGGGTCCCAAGGCTTTCGCCCATCCTTTACTGCTTTCCCAGGGCATAGCAGGGAGCTGGGTGGGAAGTGGAGCAGACAGGACACAAACTGGTGCCCATATGGGATCCCAGCAGTTGTCAAAGGGGAGGATTTGGCAGTTGAGCCACCATGCCAGCACATTTGTTTTCTATGTGTTGTTTCTAGCTCCATGCTTTCAATAAATGATATTTGTCTTTAGTTTTCACAATTTTGACTGTGATGTATTTTGGCATGGGTTTTGTTAGGTTTTTTTTCTGTATAGAATTAATTAGGCTCTTGAATACGTTATTATATATTTTTATGAGTACAGGCAAATGTCCTTGTTTTCCTGACTACTTTTTGTTTTTGCCCTTTTTCTTCTCCCTGTTCTGATTTTTGTTCGTACAAATGACATGGGTTTTGGTTACACTGGTCCCTGAAACTCTGTTTATTTTTCTTCAGCCTAGTTTCCTTTGGTGTTTAAATTAGATAATTTCTTTTGTTTTGTCTTTAGTTTTTTTATCCTTTGTGTCTCTGCAATCTGCATCTGACCTCTTTCCCTGAGTGTTGGAATTCAGTATCATACCTTTCAATTCAAATATTTATTTGGGTTTCTTCCATGTCTTCTATTTCTTTTTTATGAAGACATATCATTTTTAATATTTATTTATTCTTATTTGAAGCATATTTACACAGAGGAGAGACAGAGAGAAAGATCTTCCATCCACTGGTTCAATCCCCAAGTGGCCACAATGGCTAGAACTGAGCTGGTCTGAAGCCAGGAGCCTGGAGCTTCTTCTGGGTCTCCCACATGGGTGCAGGGTCCCAAGGCTTTGGGCTGTCCTTGACTGCCTTCCCAGGCCACAAGCAGGGAGCTGGATGGGATGCCAGGAGCAGTGGGCCATTAACCAGTGCCCATATGGCATCCCAGCACTTAAAAGTGGAGGATTAGCCACTGAGTCATTGCGCCATGTCCTACGTCTCCTATTTCTTTGCACAGGTTTCCTGTTTTATTCTTTTAGCATTTTTCAAATGTATTAATAATTTGTTCATTAAGCATTTTATGTTGGTTTTGTTAATACCCTTTTCAGATCATTCTGACCAGTTTTCATCTTAGCCTTGATGTCTGCTGATTATCATTTCTCATTCAACTTGAGATATTCCTCATTCTTGGCATGTAGAGTAGTTTTCCATTAGACACCTCAGTATGCTGTGTCGGTGGTGAAAAGGGAGTTTTGCATCATGACTGCCAGGTAGTGGTTGAAGTCGTTTCCGGCACTTAGCCTGTGGCTATCTCATTACTGCAGAATGAGAATGAGAGTGAATATTCCCCAGGATTCTTCTGCTGACACTGCCCAAGCTGGAAGGGGATAGGGTCTGGCTGCTGTTTTCCACAAGGCCTCTGCTGAGGGTGATGCACCTGTTTAGAGAGTGAGAAACACATTCAGTGGACAGTCCTTTCCCAAGCATCCCTTGACTTTTATTTTCTATATTCACAGTTGTTTTATAGTCAGCTCAAACTGAGCAGGTTATTAGGAGTCCATCTTATTCATTGAGTTGTTTGTTTTCAAGTTCTGCAGATTGGGAAGTCCAAGAGAAAATGTATGTTTCTCATCTGTCAAGTACCATCTTGCCATGTCCTCACATGGTAGAATTGGAATATTATATCCTTACCTAGTAGCATGTAGAAGTACAAAAAAGTGATGCATCTGGTTCATTTCAGCTCCTTAAATTTTTTTTCACATTTATCCATATAAAAAGGCAAAGTTACAGAAAAATAAAGGGAGAGACAGAGTGAAAGGGGAATCTTCCATCTGCTCGTACACTCCACAGATGATTGCAACAGTCAGGGCTGAGTCATGCTGAAGCCAGGAGCTAGGAAATTTATCTGGGTCTCCCACACAGGTGCAGGCACTGAAAGACAGGAGTGATCTTCGTTGCTTCTCCAGGCACGTTACCTGGGAGGTGGATTGGAAGTGAAACTACCAGAACTCATTTC